TATCTTGTACTTACCCAAAGAATAGACCCATCAAAGCTTTTCCACTAAAAATTCTTTTAAAAAAATAATTAAAATTAAACCATCATTCATTCAAGATGCTCTGCTGCTTCATGTGAACATCACTTGAAAACACTCTGTCACTATTATGTCCAGTTCAAAGACCTCTCCAGAGTAAGTGGAACATTTCAAGCATAGAACAGCCCCACTTGGGTACAAATATTTATACATCTAACAACAACAACAAAACCAACACACAAAAAAACACAAACCACCCTACAACACCACCACATTGTGCAATTTCAGAAAGCAATGACAATCAGCAATATAAATCACAGCAACCTCCAGAATGCTTTAGCTTACACAGTAGAAAAATCACCCATCACTGAGATAGCCTATATCAAGAAATTAATAGAATGGTGTATCTTCTGCTGTCTTCAGATCTTCACTTTAAATCCCTTGGGCAGCGTTCAGAAGCCAAATTATATTATTTCAAGATGAGACGACAAAAGACAAATTAAAATTAGACTGCCTGCTCCCATCTCTTAGAATACTTCATCAGATTTACTATATTTAGCTCTACTGACTGGTCAAAATTAAATACCTAAAAAATTCAGAACAGATCACCAGGCTTTTCAGTTCACCTTGGCTTGAACATTTCCAACTGTCACGGTTTTACTAGTACAAAATGATATCTGTTAACTAACATATAAACTTGTACTTTGTGCCTCCATTAGTATTTTATCATGAAGTTGAACACAGATTAAAATTAACATTCTTGGGGAAAAAAATGCAAACAAAAGGTATACCTTAGAAAGTGATAGGAAGCCTTCGCTGGAGAGCACCTCTTGGGCATTTCTATCCATGAACATACAGCACATACAAGTTAATTTGGGAAGGGAATAAAGACTGGCAACATCAAATGTCATACAGACATTCTGAATATTAAGTATTGTGCAAAGATATTCAGATGTGGAATCCTCCAGTTCTGGGAACCCATATTTATGTGCTAGGCTTAGGAAGTCTAGGAGAACCTCCTCTTTCTCATCTCGTAGTGTAGCACGACCAGTGTAAATATATTTCAACAGCATGGTAAATGCTTCTGCAGTGGTGTCCTGAAGAGGAATTTCTGCTTCAGGCTGAGATTCTCTCATTCCACCATACAATAATGCTCTATAAGGAAGATAAAATTTCAGACATTAATATTCTGATAAAAAACAGGCAAAAAGTAGAAACAGAAAGGAATAAATGACTATTTACAGCAAGAGGAATACCAATGAGATACGGTTTGAGAATCTACAAAAGAATAACCCTTATACTCGGCATTTAAAGTGCAGCTTTGCTCTGAAAGAAGCTGCACAAGAATGATATTCTAATGCATCATGTTTTTATTCTAAACAACAATTGCTCCAACTCTACTTTGAACGATAGCTTGCAAAGAAGAAATTGAGATATGATTCTCATACCTTTCTTTTTTTCAAATATAGTATCTTTTTAAAAAAAATAAAAATATAGTGCTATCAGTGAGAGAAAAAAAGTTTTCAGAAAGCAAGTGAAACAGTTTGCCACTATAATAGCAGTAGCGGATTAGCAAATTGCAAGATTAATCAAAGTACAATTACTTTTTAAAATACAATAGACAGTTTGAACACAATTTGCATTCATGCCTTAGTTTAGTTATTAGTTTATCCCTCTGACAAAATTAACTTGAAGAAGATTATCAGGAAGTTCTGCTAATTACATTTAGAGTGAAAAACGTCTAGCTCTCAAAAGAGCTGGATTAGTATTATTCCTGGTTTTAAAACATATATTCTAACCTGTATCAGCCGGACCTCTTTAAATACTCAATTACAATGCATCAAAATTAAACTTTCTAACTGAGTATATTCCATAGAAGCACACCATCCATACTCTGAGAAATCAAAACGATTTTACAGCAGAAGTTTTCTGTTCTGAAGTTATCTTTCTCCTGAATTTGTGAAACTACCTTCAAAATCCAATTTAATGAAGGTCAAAAGAATAACATCATGACATGGTATTTATCTTTTTATATTTGGACACAATGATTTGATGCGCTGGGAAACATTCACACAGAAAAGGTCACACTCAATGGACAGATGATTACACCCTGAAAAGTTCATAGAGAAACAATGTTTATCTTATCTGCATGAAAATTTCCTGTGAGCCTGACAAAAAAAGCTATACTTCACCTGAAGTAATGGCACCTAGCAGCCAAGATCACTCTGTGTGCCGGAAAACGTTTCTTTTCTACAATAAAGGTAACGTCACTGTATTCTTCCCCGTTCATTAGCGCTCCGATATGCTCTGACAGGATGTGAACGTGGTCAATCTCGCCCACAGCTGTGTACGGACGAAGCGGATGGCTGTTACTCATCTTGGAGGGATGGTGATATTGGTAGCCTAAAGGAAGAAAAAGACAATAACCAGTATTATAAAGAGCACCAGTATTATAAAGAGCACAAATATTTAAAAATGGCAAAGATCAAGCTGCAATTACAAAAAAAAGAGCAACCAGTGTAAATTACCATATATTACGAGAAAAATGAAACCAAGAGGTTTCCTGTTGAAGTTCGTTTACAACAGGACTCTACGCAGCTTGCATCAACAATGCTAGCTGACAGAAAATATTTCAGAGAATTCCACCACCTTGTTGTTCTGTCAATCCATTTAATTCAAATAAAAAGCTTCCAACAAAAGGAATTAAAAATTTAACAATATTAAAGTTAAATGGTATTTCTATCGTTAGAAAATAATTTTATCTGTATTAAAATGCACATAAATTATAAAGAAATAAATAATTTGACCAATTAAGCATAGTCTTAACTCCCCAGTCTCTACTAAAATCAATGATGAGTAGAAACACAGGTGTTTTTGCAGAATCCAAATCAACTTTCCAGAACTGAGAGAAAATAAACAATCAGGATAACTTTTAGTAAATAACAGACAAAGCCTGTCAGAGAGCAAAGCTTTACAACGTACAATTCAATTTTCTTACCCTTTTCACTCAGTTTTCTTGAAGCCTTTTTGTTCTCTCATATATGTAAGAAAATAAACTCCCTAATACCTCTCAGTCACAAAAGTAGGAGACTGTCCACTCATGTACAATATAGATGAATGAATTAGTCATACCTTCTACGGAATTATCTTGTTACTTCTTAATTCACAAGAGGCTTTAATTTTGTTGGGTCTGGTTTATTTCAGCACCAGAGGCTTCCTCAGTGGCAAGAGAATCCACAGAAGGAAGAATTTAGGTCTTAAATCAGCTTCTATTGTTGCACTTTGATTTACTTTTAAATAAAAAGGTTCGCTGTTTCAGATAATAACCATCGATATTTTCAGAGACACCTTTTGTGACTAGCCACTTTCCAAAATGGGGACATACTTAGTGCTGAAGAAAGACAGTGTATGGCTATCACCCAGCTGGCTTGTAATCACCTAATTAAGGTTTCGGCCCTGCCTACAAAAGGCGGGCCATTTCCTCCTGGCTGCGGAAGATGCAACGACATCCTTGGAGCTGCAGCCTAGGCTGGTGAGCAACAACAGTGTATCACAAGAAGCAGGAAAATGACGAGGCCATATCCTGCACACAGCTAACACGTTAATCTTCCAAGTGAACTATTCATGACATGAATATATTTTTAATATACACCTGCTTCCAGTCATTTCTAACCCAACAAAGAAAAGAAAACACATGCGGTTCAGTATTATTTGCACTTCTGTAGCACCTGGAACTGCTTAACCCAAAATCAAGATACTGTAGAAACAAGGTCCCAAAGAACTCTAAACTAGAAAAAGCGATAGAAATAGAAAATGAGATTTGAGAAAAAAACAGCATACCAAATTGATAACACAGATGACAGCACAACTGGGGACAAAACGTGATACCCTCATGAGAGACCCTGAAGACCTCGACTCCGACTCCCTTGCCGGAGCCAGAGCCGGAGCGAGAAGTCCTTCGATAAGGAAGGTAAAGCCGCTACCCCAAAAGAGGGAAGCGAGCTGGAGTTGGAATGAATGAATTGGGTCTCTGCTCACTGTAAAGCCTTCCTGAAAACAACAACAACCGAAAAAAACCTGTAAAACAAAAAGGGGGAATTATGGCTATCACCCAGCTGGCTTGTAATCACCTAATTAAGGTTTAGGCCCTGCCTACAAAAGGCGGGCCATTTCCTCCTGGCTGCGGAAGATGCAACGACATCCTTGGAGCTGCAGCCCAGGCTGGTGAGCAACAACAGTGTATCACAAGAAGCAGGAAAATGACGAGGCCATATCCTGCACACAGCTAACACGTTAATCTTCCAAGTGAACTATTCATGACATGAATATATTTTTAATATACACCTGCTTCCAGTCATTTCTAACCCAACAAAGAAAAGAAAACACGTGCGGTTCAGTATTATTTGCACTTCTGTAGCACCTGGAACTGCTTAACCCAAAATCAAGATACTGTAGAAACAAGGTCCCAAAGAACTCTAAACTAGAAAAAGCGATAGAAATAGAAAATGAGATTTGAGAAAAAAACAGCATACCAAATTGATAACACAGATGACAGCACAACTGGGGACAAAACCCCAGCTTTCCTCAGGCTGTCCCTGCTACTTGAACAGGTGCTGTGTGCCCATGTAGCCATTACGGTGTGGAACCAACCTAACCATGGGAACACAGAATACTGTACAGTCATTCTTCTATTCTGACACAAGAGTAAATTAAATTTTATGGTTTTTCATAAGAACATACTGTTTCTTCCATTTGCACTGGTTAATTTACAATTAGCTAAGACAACTCTGCACTGAACAGATTTATGCAACGTACATTTCCAGTAACGTTTACTTTGTAACAAGCGAGTTAACTTAACTCACATCAGTCCAGTTGCATCTATTTATACCAACAATAATATTTATCACGACATAATTATTTGAGTTTATAAACAATAGTAAAATTGAAATGCCCTCAAAATACAAAACATTGTTACGCCAAAGCAGCAAACAAAAGGATGTATTTGTCATTCAGCTGCAAATCTCAAGCCTTGATCCTCCTTTAAGACCTCTGTACATTTCAAGTCTATAATTGCTGTTGTTGATATTCATTCACAATAGTGAGGCAACCCAACTGCCTGCGAGTTACACGTACGTGATCAAGTGACTCCGTACTATCTCTCTTCTGCTAGATCAATCCTGATTAATTAGGGAAGTTCGTATGTGATATTTCAAACACATGGAAGTACAGGCGCGTTTTGGTTTTAAAATCTATTCTAAATTCCATTTTTTCTACATTCTACTTTTGTGCTTCCTTCATCCACTCTTATCTCTAAAAAATAAGGACAGGTACTGCCTGCATAAAACTAAGCGACTGTAAAAGTGATAAAGAAAAGGGAATGCCATCAGCCGCACGCTAACTTTGCTTCCAGTAGCTGTGGATGTTGTCATCTGCCAACAGGGTGAAAAGTTCATGAGAAAATTGTTTCCAATTCAGGTTAAATAAACAAATAAAATCAAAAGCACTTTTCCCTCTCCAGGGTATACAAACCTCCTTCTAAACAAGAACCAGTGTACTGAAGAGGGCAAAGTCTGAGCACTCGCTAATAAGCCAATGATGTCGTCCTTACGAACATCAAGACCCTGAACGACAGCAAGTGATGAAAGTAGAAATTTAGAAATCCCTGTGTGTAAGCTGCAAGAAAATTTGTTTTGATGCTTAACGCTCCCCAAATTTCTGGTACAACGTACTATTCTAAATTGTCAGTGTCAAACGAGAACATGCTGATCACAGGGAATACAGGACTCAAAACAATGGCTACAAGGAAGCCTTTCAGACCCTTGAATGATACAAAGTGTTGCAAACTGGCAACTTTATGAAAAATGTGTACATGCCTTATATGCCTTCTCTGGGTAACACTAGTATATTGAAGAAACATTCATACGCATTTATTTGTTTACTACTATGCATTTTCAAAGCAAGTTTCACCTGTATTGTGGATTTTCCATATAAAGCAGCCCAGTGAGAGCAGTTCTGCCTTCAAAATATAGAACCAAATAATGCATGATTTCAGATCTTCCCAGACAGGATTAATTAATGGTACGAACTCAGCCAACCCTTGAAGTGATCTGCACATTTCTTGTTTCAGGAAGTAAAAAGTAATACACTGCTTTAGTTGTGGCAAGTTGCTATGAGCTCACAACTTCCCTGTATAGCTAAACGTACATTTTTCTAGTTGCAACTCAAAGTATTATTTATGATGAAAAAGATGGATGCTGCTGGGAGCTTGGCAAAACCCTTTCTAAGATCCCTCTGGCATTTTCTGTCATCAAACAACATAATCTCTTTCAGAGAAGAGAGGCTTTACTCTTCCTGCTGGTCAAAGAGGAACATTTAACAGACTTTGGAATAAAAGGACAAGCCATTTACAAACCTCTTGCCAGCATCATAACCTATTTCCAGGAGGTATTCAGAGCTAATTAACCACTCCGGGAGTCAGCTTTGTTCATGCCACAAAAATAAACAAAATGACAGTCTTCTCTGAGTCTGAGGCAACCACTAAAACTGCAACAATCTCAAAAGGCACCTGTTAAGCCAGAAGGCCTACAAATCACTTCTGTCTGAGACCTCATCAGAAGCAATGCTTCTTGGTGGCCATCTTCAACAGTGAGCATGTGAAAAACACGGCCTAGTATTTATTACATAAGGCAATATGCAATATCACACAATGTGTGTCATGGTTAGAAAAACAACAACCAAAGCCCCACAGTTTTCAGCTTGCTATATTTCTTTTTGGTAAGTAATCTGTAACATGTTACAGCATACAAAAACGGGATCTAGAAAATGCAGCAACAGCAGCAGAACTCCAATGGCATCTTTACTAAAAAAATCTCAAACAAGAGCTGCAATAAAGACTGGTACTCAGTCACTTCTGCCTCTTATTTCAGCTGTCACTAAAGAGTCCTCTGAAAAGCAGTGCTGTTTCAATGAAACATGGAAGAATTTTTTTATACCAGGCAACAGAAAAAGGAATTTAAGAAATTGTTCACTAATAATTTGGAATACTTTTTTATATATAAAGTGAATGAAAAATGTTTACATAACTGATAACCCTATTGAAACAGTAAGTAAACAGACTATTGCTAGAATTAAAAATGTTAATAAGTCTGGATAAACACTGAGCAAATAATTTCATACCCTTGAAACAATTCCTCCAGCATCGAGTTTGTACCTAGCATGATAATACAGAATTTGTCAGAATCACACAAAGGATACTTTCTTAAAGTTAATTCTCTTACACCTCTATTTTATCTAGAAATAGAAATCGGTTCTCAGTTGATTGGAAGGGATTTAAGTATTATTTCAATCTTTTGTAATTAATTACTTCATTAATTACTTTGTTATGCTTTAAATAAATTCCAGCAAAATATAAGTAATATTTTAATTATAATTTCTATTACCATAGACTCACAGAACATGGTAGGTGTGACAGTAAGGCGACTGTACAAACATATCATTGTTTCAAAACATATGGTTTGTATTTCTAACAGATATATACATGTCTTTTTTTCACAAAAATATTTTGGTTTCATAAGTTCTGGTACACTAAGTTAACACCTCAAGAAATAGGAATTTTTATCAAGTATTTCAACATACACTGAGCATAACCCAAGAAAATATTTTGATTCCCTCAGAACCCTTGCTACAAAAGCTCTTTTATACTTCTAAATAACAATAAGAAAGTTGACTATGAGTGAAAACTGTAATAGAAGAGGAAAAAAATACATGTTCTGATACTTAGTATCCAATAATAACAACATAATCAATGCAGCACTAATGCATAGATACAGAATATGAAAGAACAAGTAAAAGAAATTCACAGAACTTTTAAGTCTCATCTCCAGCCCTTCTCTTGAAAAGAAAAGCAGATGTTAACTTTGGTTAAAGGTAAATAACCACATCACCCAATGACAGCATTCTAAAACACAGTTTAGTACCAAAAGCGTTTTGACTTAAAGCACATGGGAAGTTACACACTGTTTATCTGCAAACACATTCCCATACTTAAGTGCTGCAGTGCTAACATTTTATGTTTTGCTCAGAGACATATTCCTCTGATAGAAGAGCAGGAATAAGTTTAACAAGTTACAAAGAACAATACACTAAGCACAGATTATTTATTAAGACACATATAAAATAGGTATTAATGCATTCGATCCAACCTGATTAAAATGGCATACAACTAAACCTTTAAGTTAAAATCTTAAGTAAACACATTGGCCCACTCACCAGTAAAGCTGTCTGAAGATCTACAGTGGACGTAGCTGGTAGGCAGGTGACCAGCTTCCTGAAAACTAGGGTTCTTTGCCATTCTGAACAGAGAGATTCAACAGCAAGCTCATAGAAACGTTGTTCAGCAACATCCAGCTGCACAGTAACAACTGTACCATTTCCTGAAACGATGCATGAAACATATACCATCAGAAACAGGGGGCATGTAGTCTATGGCAAAAGTGAGAGAGATCCATGTTTCTCAGTTAAAATGTTTGTGGAAATAAATTCTTTAAAAATTCTCCATTCTATGGGAAAACTTCTAATAATGTTAGAACACAGCATTAGAACTTCTTTTTCTGAGCCATCATCATCTAATTTTGACCATTCATTTTTTTAACCATCAAAAATATAGTAACATATTGCCATTCATTCGTTCATTATAAGCCACAAAAATTTCATCCTGACATTCTTGCTACAGCATTAGCCTCCCTGAGAACACCGTTTTCCCACACGAGTGTCCTAATTAAATCAGATCTACGCAAAC